AGTTTTGTATTGTTGGCTTCTTATTGTTGCTTTCTTATTGTTGGTTTGTTGCTTTTACTTTTATAAATTACTTATGTTACTTAGTAATTTGAGAATGTTGAATACTTGAATTATTGTTTTTAACTTTTTATTTTGTTGCATACTTGAAATTGAATTGTTGTTTGACATTTTTGCTTTTTCATTATTAAAGTGTAGAGAATAGTGTAGCATTGTAGTCTATTTAAAATTTGGATGGGGTCTATGTGTTATTATGGCTTGTCATTAAAAAAGTTGATCTTTGAATTAATGTTGAGATCATGAAATCGATGCAATTTTAATTAAGTTATCGATCGAATCAACATATGATATTGAGTATTAATTAAAGGTGAAAACCAAATTATCGAATAAAAAAACCGATATATTTCAAAACTAAATCGAAAAACCGAATAATAATTCGGTTACGTTTCGGTTATTTTTTAGACAATTCGGTTAACCGAAAACCGGTAAAAAAATTCGAAACCGAACCGAATTACCGAACGAACACCCCTAGTTATGGGCAATGCAATTGTAGACTATTTTTAGAAGATATTCACCGGTGAACAAACAACTATGTCGACTCTTATCTCTAGATAATTCCAATAATCATCACTTCGATTAGAATGATAACTTAATGGCCATCCCTACTGCCGAGGAGATCAAGGATACTATTTTTTCTATGGATGAATAAAGTGCTTCGAGACCAGATGGTTTCATTGGAATTTTCTATAGAACTTGTTGGGATATAATTTGTAGGGACGTGGTTTGTGTAATTCATGATATTTTAAGGGAGGTGCGATTCCAAAAGGGGTAACGACCACAACTCGGTTCTTGTTCCTAAGTGTCTTAGGCCATCCTAATTTTTAGATTTAAGACCTATAAGCTTGTGTAACTTCTCATATAATATTTTTTTCAAAATTCTAACAAGTAGCATGAGTAATTGCTTGTTCATGAGAATGTCGCTTTAGCACAGGAGTTATTCGAGTGATATTGGTAGGAAAGTCTTGGGAGGGTAACATAATCTTAAAAGTGGATATGGCTAAAGCATACGATCGACTTGAGTGGAGTTTCATTATTAAAGTTATGCGAGCGGTTTGGTTTCTCTCCCAAGTGGTGCAACTTAATATATGAATGCTTAGGTAATTGCTTGGTGCACGTTAAGTTTAAACACCAAGTTGTATGGATTTTTCAAATCACAGAGAGGAGTAAGACAAGGTTATCCCTTATCCTCAGCTCTTTTCATTCTTGCATAGGATGTGTTTAGTAGGCACTTGAATGCTCAAATTAATAATGGATCCATCTTCCCTTTTTACACTCGGTAAACGAATCCTCACTCGTCTCACACTTACTTTTTGCCGATGATATGCTACTCTTTGGCAATGAAGGGAAACATAATATGAAGAAGGTTATGTCACTTCTTAAGGATTATGCTGTCTGCTAGTGAACAATCCATCAACACTAGTAAGAGCCTTCTTCTATGTAGTTCTAAGCTTAGAGCAAGCAAGAAGAATCTCCTTACCTCCCGGACATGTTTCAAGTTAGCTACGGAAGCTCTACGTACCTAGGCATGCCTCCGTTTAAAGGGCACCCTAGGATTGAGTTTTTCTCTAACTCCGGAACGGAAGATTAAGGATCGGATGGCGGGATAGAAGGGTAAGCCTCTATCAATAAGAGGGAAGCCGACTTTGATACAAAGTGTTTTAAACTCCATACCCATTTATATCATGGGAGTTTTTCTTGTTCCTAAATCTAGTCCGGCTAGGATGCGGGGATATATTTCTAAATTTTTTTAGAATACTAATGGTGAAAGTAGGCATCACTCGGTTAAATTAGAAGAAACTTGCGTTACCTAAACAAGAAAGTGGTTTGGGGGTTCGGGACTTGGAGACAATTATGCACTCTTTAAATGGGAAGTTGGCATGGGCGTATCTCATAAGCCATTCTCTATGGAGCTTTTTATGAGATCTAAATATGGGGACCTTTCGCTGCTAGACACTTTAAGTCCCAAAAAGATTTTTTGGTATGGCATACTCTCTTTACTCATATCCGAGTCTCTTATCGGTAACTCCATTTGGGTGGTTGATAAGGGAAATATTAAACCGTGGAAAGATAAATGGTGTGAGGTTGAATTACCATTTCCTACTTCTTCCCAATCTAGATATTACAATAGCTCAAGCAAAAAGAAATCCCTCTATTTACCAAATGTTACCAGTACAAGTTAGGCAAGAGTTGGACTTGTTGCACTTTGATGATAGTTCATCGACTATTTTTGCTACCTAGGATCGAAAACTCGGTTTGTTTAAGTCGAAGGATTATTATGAAGCTCACGGAATCACCGCCCCAAAGTTTGAATTGTGGAGTTGCTTATGGAACAAATGGTTACCCTAGAAAATTACGGTCTTTGTCCGGCGATTCCTCCACGATGTTGTAACTATAGATAAAAACATTCAAAAGTGTGGTATCTTATTGGTTTCCAAATGTTTATGTCTGCAGGACTAGTCAAATGGAATCAAGGAGTCACCTTTTTCTTTATGGTGCGATAATAGGAATGCTTTGGTCATTTTTTGATAATATTTTAGATATGGCTCCCGATTCTAGTACTCGTTAGACAACCGGTAACGACTTGGCTCTCTAAAGGTAACATTGCTAATCGAAATCTTTTTCTCGAATGATTATTTTCAATAATCGGTTATGGGAGATATGGTTAGCTAGAAATAGAGCTATTTACAAGGGGAGATCATGAACTTAGTATCGATCAAGCTTAAGGTGTTACGCCGGCTTAATGAACTTACGAATCTGTTTCAACCAAAACGTGAAATATCATTCCATGATAAACTTTGCATAAGTGTTTTGGGTGTACGGATTCGAGCCAATATTCCTAACAAAGGTAGTTGGATCAGGTGGTAGTTCCCTCGTTAAGCAAATTGAAATTGAACATAGATGGAGCCTCTAGGGATAATATCCGTACTAGTGGTGGCATCCTTAGAGATGAGAGAGGAAATCTTATTATGGCATACTCTATGTTTTTTAGGATGGGTACAAACCCGAGAGGAGAAGCCTTAGCACTTTTAGAAGGATTACAACTATGTAAGTTGTATAATTTCTCCCCGATATAATAGAAGGTGACTCCACTATCATTTTAGGAGGTTTGTCTCGCTCAACTTCGGTTTCTTGGTGACTAACCTATGTCTTTAGAGAGTGTTGGGCAATCGGTCCTCCATCTATTAGAATACAACACATCCATAGGGAGGGAAATATGACAATTGACAAGCTTGCAGATTGGGCTTTTCTCCATCACACAAGCGGGACTACTTTTGCAATGCATGAATTATCGTTATCTTGTCGTAGGGCGATTTCGGATGATAGAATGAGTTTAGTAAATTATCGAGTAGGTCTTAATTAGTTTACCTTGCTTATGTTATGGCTAGTACTTAGAGAATCTAGAGTGTTCATTTTTTTGTTTCAGCACCTCATACTTAGCTTTTCGGATCTTGTATGTAAGTGCTCGCTTTGTGTTTAAGGGTTAGGTTTCCTTGTCCTCTCAATCTGTTAGGTTAGGTCGAATTTGTCCCCCTTTATATTTTTTCTATTTTGATATTAATATATTCACGGGTTGATATTAATATATTCACAGTGCACGCACCGTTTTTTTTTTTAAATAAATAAATAACACAATCCGTTTATCCCGAGTTAACTTATGTGAAATATTGTTAGCTTGAGTTGTATGTAGATGTCCTATATATGTAGCTGAGAGTGAACCTTTATACATATATATCACTCTCCATGACGTAGAATAGGACTCAACTGGTACAAGCGTACCATATATATACCACATGTGTAAAGAAAACTCTTGTTAAAAAATAACTTTAACTTCAATAGCAAAGAAACAATATATTTTTTTTAAATAATTTTTTAAAAATAATTTTTAATACAGTTACGAGTCTTGATTAGGCTTTCAAGTTTCTCATTTTTACTATATCATCCACTTTAATGGATAATAGGCTAGTGTGTTATCCACTTTAATGGATAATAGGCTAGACATCTCATGAGTTTTAATCAAACCCACATAACTTTATTCCTTATTTATTTATGAAAAAAGAAAAAAGAAAAAAAAAGGAGAAATCTTGCATGCCAACCAATGTTGAGTGGTAATACGTGGCGTGGACATCGCGCCCCATGTCCGAGTAATGGCCTACCATTCGTTTCACGGCATAAACGTCATAGATTTTAAATTCAAATCTCATGTAATTATTTTGCCCCTTAAATTTGTAGAAAAAGTCAACTTCTCCCATACTTGTTATTTCTTGCCAATTCTCTCTGCAACAGAGAAAATATATGCCCAATCAAATTGATGATTGCCTTCAATTTCCACCACTTTTATATACCGATCTGTAAAAATTGACTTAAATGATTCATAAAAATCAATAAAAATTAATTTTTTTATATTAAACAGTATGAGATATTCTCGGACCAATTTGTAAATATTAAAGTTTTTATTTTAAATTAGTTTTACGAGTTATTTTTTGAATTCTAGTCTCTTGTTTTGAACTCAAGAAATTACGAGAAGGATCAAATCTCCTTAATGACCAAACATACCCTTTTGGGTTGATTAATAACTGCTATAAATTAGCCTAATAGACCCTCATATTCTCGATTTTGAGTGAAATTGACCAAAAACAAAACACAGGAATGAAATTGACTGTACTCTACAAGTTAGGGATTAAAATAGAAATTATCTCTTAATAGAAACACTATTAATTTCAATTTTGAAAGAAGGGTCACCCGAGGTGGGAAAAATATTTTTTCAGCTATTCTTCTGTTCTCTCGTTTTGTCCTCAACCTCACCCAAATCAATTCCAAAGGAAGAGGGAGAGAGGGCCAAAACCCTATACTCTCTCCCTCCCTCTCCCTCTTCGATTTTGTTTTTCAATTTCGCCTGCTCCGAATTAATCAATCTGGTCAAAACCCTAATTTGATTCAATTGAATGATGAGCAGTCAAATGGGTCCTCCTCCTCCAAAGAGGACCAGTTTGACCCACAAACGAGGCCCAACCACAGCCAGAAAATCGTCCTCCTCATCGGCGGCACCGGCGTCAGAGAATGGCGGCACATCCTTCCATGGTGGCAGCACCTCTAAGCCCTCCTCTCCTGACGCTCCATCGTAAGTTCCATAATTAAATTACTGTTTTTCACTGTTTTATTTCCATTAAATATTTGTCCTTTGGATAAGTATATTAATATTTAATAATTGGAATAATTATTGGTTTGTGGAGGTCTGCGGGGGCAGAAAGGACAGTGAAGAAACTGAGGCTATCGAAAGCACTAACGATTCCGGAGGGGACCACAGTGTCTGATGCTTGTAGGAGAATGGCAGCTCGTCGTGTTAATGCTGTTTTATTGACTGATGCTAATGCTTTGCTTTCTGGGATTGTTACTGACAAGGTTCGTTTTTGCATATGTTGTTGTGTTCTATTGTTTGTTTCTATGTTATTTGCGCGGGATGGTGTTTTTATTTTTTTGTTTTTCTAATTTTGTTGTTGTGGATAGGACATTTCGGTGAGAGTGATAGCAGAGGGGTTGAGGCCGGAGCAAACGGTAGTATCAAAGATTATGACAAGGAATCCTATTTTTGTTACCTCGGATTCGTTAGCCATTGAAGCGCTTCAGAAGATGGTGCAGGGTTAGCTTCTCTTTTTAGTGCTTAGTTTAGTTCTGTGGGCATGAATGATTAGACTGTTGAACTTCATTAAAAGGCCATAACTTGCTGAGGTGGGGTTTTGGGGAGGGTTAATTTAGAGACTCCAATATTTTTGCTTTAAAATGGCATCTGGAATTTAAAACTTCGTTGTTGGTAAAGAGTGAACAGTTATTACATGTCATTTGTTTTTGTTTCTATTAGGTTGTGCATGAAACATTTTAGGAAAATGCATGTACCTGAAATTGTGTGTACGAGTCTTGTTACATTGGTGTTAGGGTTTGGTAAACGAGGAAGATAGTTTTCCATCATCATAGTTTGAGCAGAGGGGGAATGAGTCTGAATTATTGTGGGGGAAGTAATGGAGAAAGGATCAAACCTATACTGTGAATTCTAAGAATTTAGTCCATGGGATTCCTTTGATGGGATACTTTACAAGGTTTTGTATTGCTGTTTAGATTTCTCTATTTATTAGTTGAACTTGTCATTTAGAATCTTATGCCTGGATCATAGATTTTTGCTGAAGTGGAAGTGGTTGGGTAATTTAGGAGTTCAGGAGTTAGGTTTATTGTTGGTTGAAACGAGCATGACATGTACTTGTTATGATAATCCACTAAAAAATGGCATAGTTGTTTGTGAACTTTCAGCGTTGATGCCAAGTACATCTATCACACAATTGTGACCAATTAAGTACATTTAGTTAGCAGTATCTTAGTTAGTTGTGTTTTGGTCAACAGGCAAGTTCAGGCACCTCCCTGTGGTAGAGAATGGTGAAGTTATTGCATTGCTGGATATTACAAAGTGCCTCTATGATGCTATATCTAGAATGGAGAAGGCTGCTGAGCAGGGGAGTGCCATTGCTGCTGCTGTGGAAGGTGTGGAACGTCAATGGGGAAACAATTTTACTGGTCAGTGGTTGCTACTATTGCTGCTGTTCTTATTATTACCATTAGCAACAACATATGGAACTACTTATTTGCTCTTCATGCATGCTTGTCTACAATTCTTATTGCTTTCGCTGTTGTTATAATGTGCTCAATGTAGTACTTATCAAATTAAACTTCATGACAGAAAGAAAAATTCAATTTGACCTTCACTTACCACTGTACATTTATTAGTAAAAGTTTAAATTTTCTTTCCAAGGAAGCAAGCACACATAAAAAAATAAAAATAATGAATGAATGTGCAACAAAAATATATTTTTGTTATAGATAACCATCTTTCTTCTGCTGGAAATGCTTGTACCATGTTATGTAGTTTCTTCCTTAAAAATTTTATTTCCTTTTTTTTTAAAAAAAAAAATGAATTAATTCATGTCGTCTTACTGGTTCCTCTATCTGTCATCTTCCATTTCAGCTCCATATGCATTCATAGAAACCCTGAGGGAGCGAATGTTCAAGCCTTCCTTGTCAACAATTATTGGTGAACAAACAAAGTAACTTTTTATCTTCAAACTTCTATTGTTCTGAGTACAGGGTAGCGGAGAGTCGTGCTTGTATCACTGATTCTTGTAGCTTTACATACTTTCAGGGTTGCTGTTGCTTCACCATCAGATCCTGTCTATGTTGCTGCGAAAAAGATGCGGGAGTTGCGGGTTAATTCTGTTATTGTTGTGACTGGGAACAAAATTCAGGGGATACTCACGTACTTCTCTTACTTGCCAGACATTGCAGTGTTGCAAATTTTTCTTGGAACAGCACTTGATGTCTTTAAAATGAGATCCTGTGTTGCTTTTTTTTTTTTTTTTATTTTATTTCAATGTCTATGGGGTTCATTCTCAGTTTTTATGCTTTTCTGCTGCAGTTCAAAGGATATTCTCATGCGAGTTGTAGCACAGAATCTTTCTCCTGAGTTGACTCTTGTGGAAAAGGTTCGTTGTGAGAACCATATATATTGTTATTTCTTATTTGGCACTTTGTTGTATGGTTTTTAACTCTTCAGTTGTGCTAGAAGTTTAATTTTGTTAGATCATTTAAGCTGTAATTCCTCTAGTTGCCAACATATTTGTGGATGAATAAAAGAACAATGCATGGGAGATTATTCATTTATTACTCAACCTATTTAGCAGTTTAGAATGTTCTGATCCTTCTAACTTTTTATAAAGATGGTACCTATTTAAGCTGTGCATAATGCTTCATCATGTCCCTGGTATGAAAGTAAGCATGGCAAGCATTGCTGCTTATGAGCAATCCATGGTACTGATTTCTTATGCATAATTTATGATCCATGAAGCGAGGAGATCCCCTTGATACTGATTGGAAAACAATTTTTTGGCTTACTAGTTGTATGAGAAGTAGCCAGTTGTGCATCATTGCTTTTGGTTCTTCATCATTTAGATTTTAGCATATGACTGTAGACAGCTAATGGTTTTTGTTGTTTCTTTTGCTTTACTAAGGTTGCATTAATGACTGAATCCTTCTGCACTCTTAACAATTGATATCATATTGCTATATTTGAATATATGTATAATGTTGTTGACTTAGATTTCTTGTTGATATGGTTTTTCTTCTTCTGCACGTTTCCCCTTTCTTTCTTGATTGGTTGACACAGATATTGTGGCCAATCTCTTAACTTCAGCTTTTTTAGCTAGATTCCTTCCCTTCTTCCCTCTCTTTGTGGGTGAACTTTCACTTTCTGTTTTTGCCAAACATTGCCTTATACTGAATGCGCAATCCTATATTTCATATTTTCATAAAGAATCATTTGATGCATCTTGCATATGGTAATAAGAGCTTTTATTAATTTGAGAGTTGTTGATGCCTTGCATTATCTCAATGATATTTTTATTAATGCTTCAGGTAATGACTCTGAACCCTGAATGTGTGACATTGGAAACAACAATCCTCGATGCATTGCATGTAATGCATGATGGGAAGTTCTTACATCTGCCTGTCGTGGATAAAGGTGAGTGTAACTTGCTTCAATTTGCAAAACTGTCCCCCTTTTTTTTTTGGGCAAGTTAGCTGATTAACATCTGTTGTGTAGATGGGTCTGCTGCTGCATGTGTAGATGTTCTGCAGATAACTCATGCAGCAATTTCCATGGTAACCTTCATTTTTTATACTGCTTGTAGTAATGATCTGTATTTTTCTGAGTGGGGGTAAAGCATTTTTGAGATTTAAGATGTATGTTCAAAAATGTTTTGTTAGCCATAGATTAAGCAAATTTTCAGTCCATGAAATGCTTTTTCCATGCCTTATTTTTAACTGAAGTACTAGTTCAGTCGAGAAAGTTGAGTGAGTGAAAAACATTTACCAACTTTCAAGCACTAGACCATGGAATGTAGTTCACAACCATGTTTTAGTGATCGTGTCACTGTTTTCTTGTATAGGTTGGCTCTTTGTCAATCATCTTGATTGTTTGTTTATCAAGCTTATGGTTACAGCTTTAACATTGTGTGGTGCTTTATGTCAACATTAATACAGCCATTTACTAATTTCATCCCCTTCATCTACATTTTTAATCTTATGGACATTCAAGGAAGAACCTCCTGCATTTCTACGTTTGAACCTTCATCAGTCCCTATTTTTGGTTCATGATACTTGGCACTGTATGGTTGAACTTGAACATCTGCAAGTGTCTTTGAGTGTGTTGGGGAGTGCCCTTGGTTGGACCAATGCCAACAAATGCTTGCTGTGTTGTTCAAAATTTGTTTACTGGATAAAAGCCATTTTCACGTTATAGCTGCTAATTGAATTTTAGAAATAAGATAAATTTGCTTATTTGGAGATGCTACTGAAGCACAGATAAGCCTTACTGTCATTTTTTCTCATGTTGTATTATATTTTCATTCTGTCAAAAACTCAACTGGCCAATTGGAAACTTTACAAGGTTGAAAGTAGCTCTGGAGCTGTTAATGATGTAGCCAATACAATGATGCAAAAGTTCTGGGATTCTGCCCTTGCTTTAGAACCACCAGATGATTATGACACCCAAAGGTACTAATGCTGTCATACTTTGATGTTACCATGGGACTTAGTTGGTTCTGTAACTAAACCTATAGGTTGATTTCAGTGAAATGTCTGCACTAATGACATCAGATGCGGCAGAACTTGGAAGGTATCCATCTCTTGGTCTTGGAAATTCATTTGCCTTCAAATTTGAGGATCTAAAGGGCCGTGTACATCGAATCAATTGTGGTAAGTGGTCATCCATGGCAATGTTTTTGAGCGTGCCTGATTTCTGAACAAAATGAATTTTGTGCTTTACCTTTGTACACAAACTATAGGCACAGTGTGGAATGATTCTTTGATATATACTAAGATATTATGGACAAAGGTATAAAACAGCATTATGAAAATAAAAGGAAGCAACTTTCTGCTTTAAAAGAAAATAAAAATATATAGAAGGGTCAAAAAAGCATGTTTACTTCTTGTTTTGATGAATTTGTCTTGGAAAAGTTATCCAATCAAACACAAAAGTAAAATTTTATATTGCCTTTACTTTTTTTTGTTTTAGGCACAGAGAATTTAGATGAACTTCTTTCCACTGTCTTGCAAAGGATCGGTGCTGATAATGAGCAAGATCGACCCCAACTTTTGGTAAGATGGGCTTATAATATGAATGCAATTTGTATTCTGTATTGCTATATATCTTATTGACTGTATTACAGTATGAAGATGATGAAGGTGATAAAGTTTTGCTTGCAACTGATGGTGACCTCATTAGTGCTGTCAGCCATGCCAGATCAGGGGGACTGAAGGTAATATTTTGCTAATATTATGATATATGGATATGTGTATAAATATTAGTAAAATAGTACATTTGCCAGTTATGTTTCAAAGTAGCACAGCTCTGTGTTCAGTCTTTTTTTCCACTGCCAGCACAACGCCAAACACCCATTTTGTTGTAGATTACAACTTCAACAACAAAGCCTCAATCACAAACTAGTTGGGTAGGTTATATGGATCCCTCCTTCCACTGTCAACCTACTAAGTTGTGAATTGAAAATAAAAAATATTGGAGCTTTGTTTGCGAAGAAGTCATGTGTTTAATGTGTACCTAACTACCCATGACAACTATAGATACCATTTCCATCCACATTATCTTAGTTCACCCTCTTCTCATTGTCCCTCCTTCCCCTGTCAACCTACTAAGTTGTGAATTGGAAAAAAAAATATTGGAGGTTTGTTAGTGAATAGTCATGTGTTTAATGTGTACCTAATTACCTATGACAACTATAGATATCATGTATGTATGAGCTTGCAACATTAGGAAAAGACATCTTTATTTTGACTATTTATTGCCAAGTACAAGAGCTCTTCTGTTTTAAATATGAGAGATGCCATTGGGAATCCTCATGCTTAACATTTTAACACATTATGGTGAGTGGTGTAATTGTAACAGAAACAACCTGTGTTTGGTATGCTGTGACAAAGTTACAATATGAAGATTTCAAAAGGTACAGGACTATGATTTAGCTTTTAAATGACATTTGACAAAGGATTCATGTGCGCACCAAGTCTGTGGTTGAAGTTAGGACTCTGATGAGCCTATATGGTTTAAAATGGTAGGATTTTCATTCATACTGATCACGATGGGCTTAGATGATTATGAAAATCCTATTTATTGGAAAAAATAGTGAAGATGTAGTGTCTTTTCTTGTATGCTATTTGTGATTACAGCGATTCTCTGTGTGTTCTTTGGCCACTGTAATTGTTTGTGATCACCGATGCCACTAATAATACCATTATCTTTTTATTTGAAAAAAATTGTATGATATGCTTGCATGATTATTCTTAATATGTGATTTTCTGTGTTCTCTCTCTCTCTCTCTCTCTCTCTATATATATATATATATATATCTCAGGTTTTAAGGTTGCATCTTGACTATCATGATCCAAGCCAACAGACACCATCACCTTTTGGTACCCCTACAACCGCCGCCCAGAGAACTGGATTGGTGTCTTTCCGCTCTGGTATCTTGGCAGCTGGTGTTGTTTTAGCAGGCATTGGTGTGCTTGTTTACTTGAAGCGCTCTAAATTGTGAAATTTTCTTGTGCCCTTCAAAAGAAGAATATACTTGGATAGATTCATTGGGGGTTTCAGACCTTGAAGGAAAATTGGAGGTTAAACCTAATTTTGTTCTATCAGAAAGAAGTGGAAGTGTTTTCTTGTCTTGTCTATCAACCGAATGCTGGGTACACTGAAGCACTGACGTGATGATTAGGTAGGTCTATATTTCATTCCTGATGGATATGCCAAGTGTACTGCCATTTTTGCACGAGGACCTTTACAGCTAAAAGCTAGATCTTGCATGGAGTTGTAGGCACGATAATTCATCGTCACTGTATTAATGTTTGTCACCTACTAACAATGTTTTATCAAGTTCCTGTTACCTGACAATGGCAAAAAGGAAAGAGTTGCGCATTATTTGTTGCTGTTGCAACAGTTGCAAAGTGAATTTAAAACTTGAAGCATGGATAGAGTTTCCTCTGAGGGTTTTGCTTGGCATGCGCAATCTATAACCCTATTTCCGTGGGGGTACTTGTTGCAACTGGACCCAGATTGCCAAGCATGAGCTACTTAATTTTTTTGAAAAAAGAACAAAAATTTATAATGATGGAATTGTTAGGTCTTGGAAATCTGAAAATCTATGTTGGGGAGCATGCAATTCTTTTGGGGGAAGTTAAATTGTATGCATTTCAATCTGCTGAATTCGTTTTTGATACAGACATGAAATATGGACGTTAAACACTTGCAATAAGGAGAAAAAGTGCAGGAAGTACCAACATCAGAATAGGACTATATATTCCTATTCTTGTGTCTACGGAGAGGTTTTCATATGGCTAACAGTGTACTTGAACTAAAAACTTTGTACTTGTCTCCGATTTTCACGTCCTGTATTTTCTGAGCTTTAGATGAAATGGTGATAATATAAAAACACATCTGGTAAGAAATCAAATCACCGTATGGAAGCTGTATAATTGAGAGTCAGGCAACAGGCACTGTTTCATATTCAAAAGCAGGGATACAAGACAGTTTAAAGTTTGAACCTAATAGATTGCCTCGATTCTTACGAGTTTTTGGTACAAAGGGTGGAAACCAGAAATACTAGCTGTGAACTACCTACTCTGAATCTGACAGAATCGGTCTGCCATGACTGTCTTGTACCAATAGGGGCTGATTCCAAAACCTGCAGTTTCTTGTTAACAGAAGCTCCAATCTTGCCAAAGTCAGCACATTGGTTACCTTTGCGAAGACGTTGTTGGTCTTCCACTGACACTCAGCATCTATATTTTCGCTAATGTAAGAGATATCAAAGCTAAATAAGGATGACAAATAAATGAATCAATTAAACATACAGTTTCTTCAGAATCTGATTCCTCCATAAGTGCCTGCAACCAGAGTTCTACATCAGTGCCCCCAATTCTGCAAGACCATTTAGAGGGAAATCTAATCTGACTCCTTTTATCCAATACCCAGACTCATATCGTATCACTCTGCATGCACTTGCTAGGCCTCGATTTCCTATTGAGCTACCATCTACTTTGAGTTTTGACCACCCTTTAGATGGTTTAACCCACGGAACAAGACAACTGACCTGCTGCCCACTTCCATTCCCTTCAGCCAAGAAAGCAAGAAAATATACATTCTTGTTAGAGCCTTGATACTTGCTATAGTTTCACTACATTTAAAACCTTTTTGATACTATGTCTTCAGGAAACAATGCTAACTATAAATATATGCAGAAGAGAGAGGACAATATATTTAGGCAGCTACAGAAAGACAAAAGACGAAATAAGTTTGATATTTGCAGCGGAACAAACCTTATTTACATTTCATTGGTGTACACTTGACTGTGAACTTCAAATGGCAGCAATTTCTGGGTAAACTATATTTTTCACCATTTGTGGATGCTCATTATCTTCCACGGGTATCAAAATCTTCAGCGTATCTCTGCTTGTTACCCTCTAAACAGCGGCATAAAGTTGGCCATGTGCGGAAACAGGTCTTGGTAAGTGCAAACCAGCACGTTTCAGTGACTGACCTTGGCTCTTGCTGCTTGTTATTGCGAAGCACAGTGAGATGGGGAATTGTTTTGAAGACAAAAGGCCACTTTCTGCCAGGTATCACGGGGATTGAGTCCAACATTGGTTCCACAAATTATTTGAGCTTCTAGGGACCGTTTTCCGAGTTGACATACTATTAGTCGTGTGCCATTACACAATCCTAAAGTCGGATTGATGTTTTGCAGCAGCATTATTTGCATTCTCACTTTCAATAACAATTCATGATTTGGAATTCCTGGTATCTGGAGAGTGTTCAAAAATTCTACTGGGAATAAAGTTTCTTGTTTTGCATTTCCTGATGCCTTGAAAATAGAATCTGAACTGTAATAGGTTTCCTCCAGTCAGAAATTGGGCCATAATGAAGTTGTTGAGATGTGATTCAAAGGTTGATGGGGTTTTTTTGGGTAATGGGTTGTTGGTAGTTTTCAAAGATTATAAGTTTTGAGTCAATTAAGAAGTGGGCTAGTGGCTGTAGTGGACCTTAGTACGTGACAGAATGGTCCAAAAGCCTTTGTCTATTTGTTTTTTTATGTAGGCATATATATATATATATATATATATATATATGGGCATTTCACATTGTCTTTTAATTTTTTTTTAAGTACCAGCCAAAGTAAAAAGTTTTTACAAACTTTATTTTTATTCTATTTGTATCGTCTCTTTCTCTAACAAAATTGGTATCGTAGCTGACTTTAGTCTTTTGGGAAAAGAAAAGTGAAACACTTAGGGATCTATTGGGTATTTGAGAGAAACACAAGAGTGAGTGTTCTTTTTTTTTTTTTTTTTTTGAGTTTGAAGAGTGATAAAATACAAGAGATCAATGGTAACGGTTGGGTTTTCTTCCTCTCAACCATTCATACCGATTTTCAATGGGGAGAAGTATGAGTGTTGGGGCATCGAGGTGAAGACATTGCTTAGATCGCAGGAGCTATGGGACTTGGTGGAGTATGGGTTCGTTGATATATTAGAACCCAATGAAGAAGAGGAGGAAAGGTTGAAAGAAACCAAGAAAAGAGATGCCAAAGCATTGTTCATTCTCCAACAAGTAGTCCATGAGACTATTTTCTCACAAATTGCAGCGAAGAACCACATCAAATCAAGTATGTTCAATTTTGCGAAGGAGTTCTAAAGTGGTTCAAAGGTCATAGTGGTGAGATTGCAATCACTAAGACGTGACTTTGAAACTTTGATTATGAAGAATGGTGAATCAATTGCTGATTTTCCGTCAAAAGCAATGGTGATAGTCGATTAAATGCGCTTCTATTATAAGCAAATTTCGAATGAGACGATCGTTGCAAAAGTATTGAGAAGCCCGACTCGAAAATTTGATCATGTGGTAGTCGTTATAGAAGAAGCTAAGGATTTGTCATTTTTTTCCGTTGATGAACCGATGGGATATCTTTAAGCTTATGAGTCAAGAATCAATAGATTGATTGAAAAGAATGAAGAGAAGCCATTTCAAGTGAAGGAGACGACCACTAAACATGGAGAAAGTGATCGTTCAGCAAACGAGAGGTCGAGGAAGAGGAGGATTTCTCAATAGTGGTCACGGTAATGGTAGAGGTAGAGGAAGGAATGAAGGGCACGAGCACGGGCATTCCAATCAACAAGGAAACATGAAGAGTGGCATTCGGTGTTATCATTGTAATAGATATGGGCATATAAAAGCCGATTGTTGGTACAAAGATCGGAGGATGAATTTTGTAGCGAGAAAATGAACATGAAAACAAGCTTTTTATGGCTTGTATTGATACTAATCATAAACCAAGTGATTTGTGATTTGTAGACGAGTGGTCGTTCGAAGCATATGACAAGCACCAAATCCTTGTTCCGGGAGCTTGATGAGAAACAAAAGATAAAGGTGCGAACTTGGCAACAAAAAAAAGATGCAAGTTGAAGGAAAAGGCATAATGGGAGTTAACACTAACCATGGCAAAGTAAAAGCATTGGACAACGTTTAATTTGTTCTCGATCTAGGATACAATTTATTGAGCGTTGGATAATTGATGGTCGGTGGATATTCTATTTTATTTAATGACAATGCATATGTCATTAAAAATAAGAAATCGAGCCAAAAGGTTCATATCAACATGACTTCAAACAAGATGTTTCCGTTGGATGTTTCTAACATAAAGAATTTTGTTCTTGCTACAAGTGCAAAGGATGACTCGAAGCTATGGCATTTGAGGTACGAGCATCTCAACATTAAAGGCCCGAATTTATTAAGTGAGAAAGGTATGGTTCACGGGTTACCAAAAATTAGCTCTATTGATTTATGTGAAAGGTGCATTTATGGAAAACAAACTAGGAAGTCATTTCCTATTTGAAAAGCTTGGAGAGCTTCAAAATGTTTAGAATTAATTCATGCCGATTTATGTAGGCCTATGCAACCGAGTCTTTGGGTAGGAGTCGTTATTTCTTGCTATTTATCGATGATTATAGTCGCATGAGTCGGGTTTATTTTCTAGAAAGCAAGTCGAAACTTTTGAGAAGTTTCAAAAATTTAAGGCTATGGTTGAAAAACAAAGTGGTCGCCATATCAAAGTTCTTCACACGGATAGAGGTAGAGAGTTTGTGTCCAAAGAATTTAATTTATTTTGTGAAGAAAATGGCATCCATAAGGAGTTAATAACTCCTTACACTCGTAGAGCAAAACGATGTCGCCGAGCGAAAAAATTGAATCGTTATGGAGATGGCAAGAAGCATGTTACAAGCAAAGGGGCTTTCAAACCAATTTTAGGCAGAGGTTGTAATAACATCCGTCTATTTGTTGAATCTCTCACCAACAAAGGCCGTCATTGTGGCGCCCTTAGCTCCCTTACCGATTACCTAAAAGGCATAGCTTGGTGCATCACAATTTAGAGACCGAAGTCTCAAATTTAATCCCATACACGTACAAAACATACCGAATATCATTATAAAAATTATAAAATATAATTTACAAGCAAAGGTAGATCCTATAATTATTATGTCACACATGAGCTTTTTCTATGAGGAACTAGCAGCTTCATTATCGGCATTAGTATCACCTTTACTCGTCATAGCATGAAATAAACATAGAGTGAGACGAAGCTCGGTAAGTAGGTCGATGCACGTGATATGCAATGATTTTCCGACTTCTCCCACTCTAACTCATCCAATTTTAATTCCGAGTACCCTGGATATTAGCGAGTCACTATATTTTTAATCCGGGTGATGATCGATTCATCTTCTACTAACAACGAAATTATTCTTCGTTGTAGCCACTATTAGCAAAAGTCCATCATCTAATAGTGCATGCACACAACTTAGAGTAGTCTACTCTATTTTTAATCTAGGTGATGATCAATTCACCTTCTGCTAACAATAAAATTATCCCTCGTTTTAGCCACTATTAGTGGGAATCCATCATCTAATAGTGCGGGCGTATAGCTTAGACTACGCACACAACTTGGACCGCTAATATCCTTTTATTCCATTACGTTACCAAACCTATCCAATTCGATCCGATTCGGTTACCAAACCTCATCATTTTCGACTCACTTGTTTTTCTTAAGTCAAACCATTTCCCACATACATATGATACACATGATGTATCATGAACCACATTCCACTATGTCATGGGTACTAAACCCGTCGATTCCATACCATTGAGTTCACACAAGGAATTCAAGACCCGTCTAATAGGGTTAATCCATTTCATGTATCACGAGCCATATTCCATATCTCATAGGCACCAAATTATTTATGTCCATACCATTTTAGAAATTCAATCCACACTTGGAACTTCATCAATATTTTCATAGTAGTCTCGTACAAAATGCATAACCCATCCATTAGGTTTACTCAAGTCCCATATTTTAGTCTTAGCTTTAATGACATTTAAGTTGAGCCTTAATAATCGACTTATAATTTTAGTGGATCCAGGTCTTAATTTTGGTTTTTCTTGAATTCTCTTCTTCTAACACTTCATTTTATCTCCATTATGATGCAATTAAACCTTTACTCTTGAATTTGGGTGGTGGGAACTCAATTTTCAAAAGTAGGGTGTAAGCCGAGTGTTTCCTAGTAAGAACAAAGATTTTCGTTTTTCTTAGGATCTAACCTTTTTACACTTTATTTATACTTATTTAGATATATTTAAACCATCGATTCATAATTTGAGTGAATGATATTCAAAACCCAAATTCTAAGGTTTTTGGCCGAATGGGTTAATTATGGGCAAAGGTTTGTCTTTTGTTCCCAAGTCTTTTCTTTCCATCTTAATGTACTAAATTTTACTTAAGTGGATTAACTTGGAAGTCTAGATCTTTAGATCCATAAACATAATCCAACTTGGCCATTTTAGTACCAAGGCCCAATAAGTGTTTTTAGGATATCCAAAGCCCATTTTATTTTAATCCAAACCCATCTTGTTTTAAACCAAGTTTATTTGATTTAATCCAAGTCCCATTTTATTTTAATCCAAGTCCTTTTGTTTTAATCCAAGTCTCATTTTATTTTAATCCAAGCCCATCTTATTTTAATTCAAGTCCATTTGTTTTAGTCCAAGTCCCACTTTATTTTAATCCAAGCCCATTTTATTTTAATTCAAGTTCATTTATTTTAGTCCAAGTCCCATTTTATTTTAATCCAAGCCCATCTTATTTTTAATCCAAGTCCTATGGTTTTAATCCAAGTTCATTTATCTTAGTCCAAGCCCATTTTATCTTAATCCAAGCCCATCCACACATACATCTTCCAACCCACATGATTGTCATCAAACCAAAACTATTCATACATGCATAAACATCCATCACATATGGATCTCATAAGGGTACATCAACTTGCTAAACACCCATCATCATACTTGTGCATCACAACACAAAGTCCACTATGAAATGCACATCAAAACAACCATATGAGATCCATCACAACACCAAACATACATCATCACAAGACCATCATAATAACATATTACATGGCTTAAAACAAACCCATAAATCAAACTTGTAAAAGAGAACTTAAAGCATAAATAAAACTAAAATGAAACCAAAAGAAACCTACTTATAATGATATAAGCTTGCTTAAGATTTCGTAGACTTTTTCTTCTTTTTCTCATTT